TTCAGATCACTTCCATCTGACTAGGAAGCACCACCAACACCATTACGACCACCGGTTGATATGAGTAGTAGTCAATTACTCATTTCAATCAACCAATAGTGTAAAGAGTTGTGCGTATTTATGCTCAATTTATTTTGCTTAACACCTGGTGTACATCACTGTGCAATGCATCAATAGCAAAAGATACTTACATAATTCAACCTTATATAAAGTTGTTACAATTGAAATATTTAATAAAAGTATAAATATTTTCTCACCGACACAACTGTCAAGTAAATGCATCAACATATATAAATGTATATATAATCATGATTTGGTTGGGTTGGAAGAATTATTGTCATTATTTCGTTCAGCCTTATGAGTGTTTTGTTCTAATTGATTGAAGGCAGCATCCAGTTTCTTGAATTCCCTTTGTAGCATAATAATTTGTTTTCGCATATCCTTTTTAACATATTCAAGCATTTCAGTGGCTTCCTCATTCTTTTGCATAAGCTTCAAAATAGTAAACAAAAATATAAAAGTGAATGCGGTTAAGTGACAACCATGAAGATGCATTTCACACTGAATATATATGTTTCTTCCGTTGGCACACAAAAACTCATTGAAAAGAAGAAAAATAATCTGTGGCTCATTGGTCCCCATCTAGGTGTTTCACTTCTATCCAACCAGTGGGTCGGTCACGAGTTCGATTCCCGCTGTACGTAGCGATGTCTGGACAGATCCGGGTAGTATAACCAGTCCTCAGGCAATAAGCTGTGACTCATTGTCAACTGTATTGTTCAGTAACACTGATGATGACTATTGACCAAAACTAATTTAATACTTCATCACTGTACAAATAATAGGCAGTTAGCATTACACCTGGTATCAGCATTCACATGTTACACTCAGTTTGTTTATTTGAAATCAGTTAACCAGAACAAATTTCCCATGTATAGTAGGCCATGAGCAACACTAATTGTCTAAAGGCTGATGATACTACCCAGTTGTCCAAAGTAAAGCAGGTCGAGTGGGATTCGAAACTAGGACAAGCTGACTGAAGGCCAATTGTTCAAGCCAATGAGCGACACCTTCACTTTCACATGTTACATACTACCTACGCTACTCTTCACACGCTTCAACAAATCAGACAGATTAGCAAACAACGGAAAGTTGAATATATCATCACTGAGAAAACACAACCTTGTTCTGTACACAGAAAAAAGCAATCCAAAGAACCATTTTAAAATATATGCACAATATTTGTGCTATGTAGCATAACTCCTACACCAAGTGATAAGGATGATATGACGAAGAAGAGAAAAAAATGACTGACTAAGTTTTCAAAGCAGAACCTAGCACAGAAGTACAGCAGTTCAAGTTGTCACATCCCGTATAGCACCCAAAATGGGGAAAATTCAAAAAATTATAATGAGCGGAATAATCTAGGAGATTATAAACACTGAATACATCTGAAGTCACTGAGGACGATTTTTGGCTACAGCATTAACAGTCTCAAGGACCCCACCCCACCCCACCCCAGCCAGGCAGCCTACACCTAAACACGTAGCTAAAACTTAAAGCCAGGCTTTATAGATTGATGCTAGGTTTCGATTTCACCCCACCCCTAGTTCTTTTTCCAATCTAGGGTTTCTTGACGAGAAAGGCAGCGGCTTGGCACTCCATCTCAATCAATATAGCTTCACTACCTCATCGATTGACCGACCCTCCTTATCTAGCACACTATACTATACGCCTGACCTTAGTGCTACTCACTGTAGTATACTACTTAACACGGGATACAGAATGCAAACAACTACAGCCAAAGGTAGTTAACCTCTTCATGTACTCCACTTTCAACAGCCTTACCTTATTGTCAAGAAGAGATGTGCACATATCATCAATAGCAGCAGTAAGACAAAGGAGAAGAGATAAAGAAATGCCTTTAATGATAGAATTAAACTAACCAACCAAGATAAACCAATATTACTGTACTTCAAGATTTACACTCAATGTCAAATATTAAGAGATACCTATAACAAACATACTTGTTATTTTTTATTGTAATCCATTTATAAACACTACTGTACAGCTACGAAGACAAAATTATGGCAAAGAGAATTTTCTTTGCTTAAACCTTTGTTTTATGTTCCTATGGTGATTATGAATTTAATCAAGATAAGCTATCACTGATTTTGTCATATCACTCAGTAACTCTGACCACAGATATCTGCTGTCTCAACTTTCTCCTTAGTACTTCGCCTTAGTCTGACCAATATTTGACATAGGTGATGATGAGAAGACGAGTGTGGTACAAACACGACCTCAGAAGACTGACTTATTAACGTAAAACTTCGGACAAAATGCATCAGTCAAAGTCCCTCACTTCAGAAGAGTACATTCAGAAGTAAGACAATGTCATGAAACTCCAATGAGCGGTGTTTTACAGAAGAAAATATAATTACATGTAAATTAGTGAGGATTTTCAAAATCGGAATGATAACGATAAGTGACCATGAGTAGAGTCATTGCAAACGACTTTTATCCATGTTATCAACAGTCTCGAACCATTAGTTGTCAGCATATCGAGGACCACAGTGTGGCAGTCTGCATATCTCCACAGACCTCAAAACAGTAAGTCAGAGACTTTCTCATTATGCGTCATGTTTTGTCCTGATTATTCTTAACTCATTTCCCAATCTAGTCCTATATCAGCTAATACTGCTTATTGAGGAAGGTTGTGGCTCAAAATGCATAACACATGTCCTAATCGTCTAAGTATATGAAGTTTCAAAGCCCCACCGACTGATTCCTCTTATTATTTATTACTGACCGCATAACTCCAATTGACACGACTGACTGACTGACTCATGGTTAGAAACTGCTAACCATTTCCCTTGCGTCTTGAGTGAAACATAAGGGCTTACAGCTTTAAAAGTCTCAGTAGCAATGCTGCTGCTTTCACGGGTCTATGTTTCTAGACTCAGGCCAAATCTTCCCACTTTCCCAAAATTGCTACCGACTGATAAATTCGACAAGGTTCAAGAGTTCATCGGTCGGGGATCGAACCCGAACTACATACGTGGCTGATAAGAATTCTACCTTTGAACCATCAACGCATCGCTGATAGCTACTCGGACAAATATACTTCCCCATATCCATAATTGGTACAAAACAAGTGTCATTTTTGTACCCCTTCATAGACACCTTGTTGACTTACAGATCAATAAGACAAATAATTAACAGCAATCGAAAGAAACCTGCGGGAAAGCGGTTGGTCTTACTCCGTAACACAAAATGAAGAATCTGTCTATCTAAAGCACCTGAACGTACATAGTATTATTTTCACGTGACTGTTAAGTACATAGAAAGTCTGTTTGAAAATGGTTGCATACGACCAATCTTAAGACTCGGCGATATATCCAACCATTCTGGAATGAGAAGTAACTCTAAATGTATGCGGTCAAAAATAAGTGTTCATGCAATGTTTCAGTTAGTATCACTTCGAAACCAAGTGGAACTCATAATCAACAAACCTGAAAGAGACAAAAAGTTCCTGTTCCCGATAAACGCACACTAATTAAATCTCTACTCTTTTACATGCCGTGAAAAACAAACACATCTAGCAGAGTTTAACATTTGCCACACACTCTTTACAAGGAACAGGCACTCGACACAATCGATCGCTAGAAGTCATCGCCAGGCTGTGAAGTAAGTGTTGAGACTATATGCTATGTTATACTAATCACAAAGATGTGTATCTTCAGCCTGAGTATTATCATCAAGCCTTAATAACTAGTGCCTCAAAGCCTGGTACATGAAAAATCTATTTTGGGTAACTGAGTTTCAACATCCAAGAGTTTACGAACAACTGCCAACTAAAGTGAAAACGATTAGTGTCTGTCAGAAATATTGTTAACTGCCATGGATATACTGATAGAAGTGATCCTGACAACTTCCAATGCCTCTGTAATTCACTTCTCCCTGAATAAAGGCTGGTTAACTTAGAGTGCACAAGTCGCCCTGTTAGACAAAGACATAATATAATGCAGAGTATTTTGAATATCATAAGGGAGAACTTCAATCCTTTCGGGTTTTTGAGCTTTTCAGCATCCATGACCAAACTATTTCTCTAACCCTGAATGAAGGAGGTAGTGCCTCCAAGCCAACTCAAACCTGCACAGAGTTAAATGAACTATGGTAAATTAGTAATCATATTAAGAGTGCAATCACTAGTAAGGATCGTAAACTATAAATCTCAGAACAATATTTTGGGATCAATATGTATCCATCGTTTGATGTGAAAGTTATATGTAGTATGCTGATTCGCGTTATGACACTACCAAGGGTGTTTCGGTCAGAGTGAGCAAGAATTCTTTCTGATTTTTTATTACAGTTTGATTCCGCACCGTATTTTTTGGTACAGGTATGGAATTTACACCATGTGATATCGGTAGCCTAAATTTTGCAGGCCGACCATAGATATCAGGTGTGCGTCGCAGGGGATCGAACCCCGAACCATGTGCATGATCGGCGAGAGTCATAACCGCTGTGCCACCGACGCACAAATGCATTATCCAGTAAACCACACCTCCAAATTCGAAAGCACTAAATAAATACGCAACTTACATACAAATTTGAAAAGTATTACTGTGAAAGCATAATTTTTACAGAAAAAACAAACTCACTTGAACTCTTATGATGAATCTGCAGGTCAACATCAAGCATAATACAATAGCATTGGATGCTTCTCTTAACCCATCTCCTGCACGCCAAATGCCAAACAAGTGGAGTAACATCAAAACAAGCAGTACAACATTGCTGACATCTTGTGCGATACCTGGACAAGATGCAAGCACAACACCACCCACAACTTCCATTGCTCCATAAACTCGCCTGATTACATCAGGACTAACATTCCATCCAGTCAATGAACTAAGTGGAAATGTTTCAAGCATTCTAATGGAACTCTCTCTCTGTAAAACAAAACACTAGGTGTAATTTCTATTAATACAACTTACCACACTACGATATAACTCATCAATAAATAATGGGCCTAGTTTCAATGTCCCAAAGGATATCAAGAATACACCTATAACTATAGAAATAACTCTCACAGCGACGTTAGACATTCGGGAAGAAATGCTAGATTGTAAATGAAAGTAGTAGACCTAAAATGTAGAACAGGAAAAGATAAAAAGCTCAGCGTATTTGTAGCTCACACTTTTGTATTCAGTGAAGCACAAATGAAATAAGGAAATAGGAAACACTATATGAGAAAGTGTTGCATTAACGCTCTTCTTTTTAGAACGCTTTATGGAAATAAAGTGACTGAAGACCAACTGTACTTAACACCTACCACATAAAACCGAGGATAAATATAGCCTTTCGGATGTCGTCACGATATTTCAGTCAGACACAAGCTCAACAACATTTGGGAAGTAAACACTAGGAAAAAGCAGTTCGCACTAGTATATCAAGACTTCTAAAAATATTTGAGACGAATCTAGATTACCTTCACTGGCAGTGGAAAATGTAATTAAATAATCGGTGAAATATCCAGAGAAAAAGGGATTTGTGACCAATTATGTGCAGCAAGGAGCAATGACACCATATAACAAATTCACAGGATAACATTCACTGCAGTATGTTTTTACCAAACACATTACTGTCCTGCAAATGGACCTATTTTACGCAGTCCATATGAAACCTAATTGCTAAAGATTTGTAGCTTAGGACGAAGATTGAAATCGGTTGATGTTCTCTGCGCTTTGAGACTTGCTGGATGAGACGTCAGCAAGCTTCTTGATGAAGTTAGTGCTCTATGACTATTTCATAATTAAGTCGTCAAGTATCTCAACAAGTAATCCAAATCAACGAACAAGACCTAAAAATCGCTGTCTTTCATGAAGAAAGAAATGGAAATATTCCCTAATTCGGCAAGAATCTCAGACTTAGCTTTTGTGGTTTCAAATTCTGCACACCTCAACTTCCATACCAACAATGGATGCCGGCGATACACAAAGCCAGAGAATCGAGGACATGTTTTTCTAAGATACAATATATCTGCGAGAGGTGACGTATAAGTGAACTACTCACGAACAATCTAATATGCAGGCTGACAGCGTTTCCTCCAGTGAAAATAATGGGAGGAATTACGACGCCAAATTATCTTATTGAGAAACCAGTACTATACATGGCCATGCACCAGATAACATTCAGATAAAAATAAACAGCTAAACAATCACAAGTCTAAGCCAGAACATCTACCGTATTCTGGAATTTCTGTTATCTATTGAAAAGCTTTACGCAACAGTAGTTTCTCATACTCATTACTTAACTTGAGAGGAGAAAGACTTGCACGGATAGGATTTCGGTGGATTCAAAAGTACCCTAATGCACACCCGAATTGGACAAAAGTGCTTACAAACAGGTGAATAATGCCAAGTAATGAGCATAGCCTACAGTGAGCTGCTTTCGTGAATCATTTATCTCTCTTATCCTTATGTGCAGTCTTCCTGTAAAGCCCCTCGTGCCGTTAGCCAAAGACTAGCATGCCTTCAGGGTCGTCAAGACGTTTGATGCTATGCACACATTTCTTGAGGTAGATGACTACACCACCACTATGTATATATCTATGTATCTCGAAATTTGGCAGGTTAACTTCGTTGTCAGTGACATCGGGTGTGACCCACGTCTCCGTGATGATAATTACATCCGGGTTTCCGGAGTCTATCATGTTACCCAGCTCAGACCGTTTGTTCAACAGGCTGTGGGCGTTTGAGCAGCAAACTGTCAATTCAGTTTGGTGCTTCCCGACCTAACCACAGAGGTTTCGGGATCATTAAACTGCGAACTTATCCACATTTCCATACTTAACAAGGATTTTATTGTATCACCTGAAACTACATATAGTATTCACTCGTGAAATCTATAACCCGGAATCCTCTGATACCCTCTCTAACCACGTGGAACTCAGGATTTTATCCACAGCAAGCACTGTAAAGGAAAGTCTGACTTTTTATTTTGCAATATACATCTGTTTGTCGTAGTTGTTTTGATACTTCGATAAAACAGCTACCTTTTTCATATCCCCAGGACACTTTTTCCGGAAATTGTGAAAATTCTTACTTCTGTTATGGTTAAGTCAATCAAACGTGTAAGTACCGTTAAGAGACTGAGATATAATGCTCGTCAACTATCTGAGGGCCTCAGCTCCGTTGACGATTCTACACTTTTCACACCAGACACACCTAGAGTTATGGTATCTGTTATCATGGGTGAACTGACAGAGAATGCGGCTTGTAGCAAAAATGATTCACTGATACTTCAGAAGTCAATGGAAGACCTACAGAGCAAGTTTGACAGCATTATGCCCCTCACGCAATTGTGTGACCCATCACAAAACATCTGTCTCGAACCACTTATCAAATCCGAGCGCATAATTGACTATTTGGCTGAAGAAGCTGTTAAGAGGATTATGTCTTCACATAACGTCTTGGCCTATAACATTCCAGACAGAGAGCCTATTGCCAAACTTAAAGCTTCGTGTCTGAAGGCATGTAATATGTCGTTGACAGAATGTCGTCAGGTTTTGCGTCTTCGTAAGAAATCTGCAAACCACTCATGTCCGGTGCTTTTCAAGTTCAGGTCTGTCGAAGAATCCAGAAATTTTCTGAAAGCTGGTAAGACAATAGGCTCTTCAACACCCTACACTAACATTGTAACGACAGAAGGCAAGAGTCAGGCAACAGATCATTTATTAAGGAAATCAACGCATATTTATATATGTTTTCATGTACATTACTATGGATATGTAAACAAACAAACACAGTCTTCCGATTGGTTGTTTCTCCCGACAAATCTTGGGAACGTAAATATTGACATAAATTACTGTCTACCAATTTGGCTAGTAGACAGCTCTCACCACAACATTAAGGTTGCACCTGATTTAACACCATGCCAAAGACGATGCCGCTCAGGAACACTGAATACTGATAACTCTAATAGGACAACTGTAGATGATGTTCCATGCGTTATTCCGTCGAATGAAAAACCTGATGACCGCATGCATCAGACATTTTCTCAGGCACAGACTAATATTAGCCAAGTTTTATATAACGACACTGATGCTAACACTGAAATGGTAGACATAGATGAGTCAACGGAACATAATGTTGAAATACATCTTTTGTACACTGACACAAACGTCAAGAGCCCGAAACCATTGAAACCCATCCCACTGGTGTTCCATCCATCCCCTTATAAGTCAGTTACTCCTCAGTCTAACAATCCATCCACTGTGAAGCACCAGTCGAACGTAGCTACCCAAGTTTTCTAGGCGTTATGACAGACGTCCCATTTCCATTAGGAAAACTGAAGTGCATGAGGTGTCCAAGCAACAGAATCGCTACATAGCATGTGCTGGCTGCCCTGTTAGCCATCATCAACCAGTTGATCATAAGAAAAGGGAAAAAGAAGTAAATAAATTAAATACTGAACCCGGAGTAAGAAAGCCCTTTGATGTGATAGAGACGAAAGCACCTCTGAGCCATCATTCTAAGAGAAAGTCAAATGTGGTAAGCGTAGCTCCTAGAGGTAGGCCTAATTGGTGTCAAGTGGAAAGCCAATTATATCCTACCACTAATTCTAGACAAACAGCACAGCGAGGTAGTAGGTATTATTCTGTTCATCCACCACGTAAACACATTGTTAGCCAACCCTCTTCTAATATTCTATCAACTGAAAGTGATAGAAAATCCCCCAAACATCGACCACAGACTACATTTAGCAAGCCAACAGAACCCACTCATACATCCCATGTATCTAGTAGGGAGCATGTGCCAATTTCTGCACAAAACTTGCTATGGTCTGATGACTACCCAGAACAAATACCAACACTTCATTCTTGTACTGGCCAAAAATTACCGAATACTCATATCGGTTATACTTCCGGGCAGGATTTTCACCAGCGCCAGTTAACAGAAACACCTGGCATCATGCATATAGCACGCATGATATCAGATCAATTCCTTGCCGGCATAGCGAATAGTCTACAGCTAGGGCAAGGCATATTTCCCGGGAGATAGCTGACACAGTGTCAACACCAAATGAGTCTAGTAACATGCATATAGAGGATACTCATGGATTGTTTTATCAAGATGTTGTCCACTCACTGAAACCACATAACTAGTGTTTATCTATTATCCTAGTAAATACGAGATCAGTTCTAAGCAAACACTTAACACTAAGTACATTAGCTTCTATATGCAGACCGTCATTGATTATGATCACTGAAGCCCGGTGCACAAGTGATATCTCCAATGATAGCCTAAGGATTGATAAATACAACCTTTCTCGGGGGGACAGACAGAGAGGTCGTGGGGGTGGAACACTAATTTACTGTGAACAATCTTTATCTGCAACCCAGTTCAGTAACCCAATTCTGTCACAACTCAATGACTCGATCTGGGTTGAAATGAAAGTTGTCAGAAGTAAACCTATACTTGTGGGTTGTGTGTACCGACCCCCTTCATCCAACAGGGAATATGATAATATGCTCAGCGATATTTTCAATGTCACAGCCAATCTTCCCTACAGTTATAAAATTATCGGAGGTGATTTCAACATGCCAGAAGTATCATGTTCTTCACTCCGAAGACCCCTAAGGTATGATAATCTCCTGAATTCCATCGTCACAGGAGGGTGAACACAACACATAAATTCACCTACTAGATCCGCAAATATCCTAGACCTTATTTTCACGAACAACATAAAACCATCTACAGTACATGTGGGACATGAATTTCCAGGTAGTGACCATAAAATAGTAGTGTGTTCTTTTGACATCTTTCCTGAAACAAAACGCAGAGATGAAGCTGGCCAGACACCTATGAGATTGTACACACATGCTGACTGGGAATTGTATCATCACCTAATTAGATGTCCTAATTGGGACTCGTACTTTTCGAACGAGTCCTTAGAGGCAATTCTTAACAACTTTTATCAGAATGTTAACTCACTTCATGACGTCATTGCACCTGAGAAGATTCTTAGCTTCAGATTCCCCCAAAGCAATTATATTCCGACATCGTTTAGGAGAAGTCTACGAAAGCACTCAATAAAATACTAC